AATCAAATTCAGAATGCTCCTTTTTACTAAATTCGGGAATAACTCAAGAACAAAAAATCGTAGAAATATTTTTTTTAACGATTTTGTAAAAAATTCCAAATTTTCATGATATAGATAACCGATAATTTTTGCAAATTTTTTTAGCACGTCACAGACCCATGAAGTGAGGAGATAAATTTCCCTTTCTTTCATCTCATAGCTTTCTATATATAAAAATGACAAACCCACATAAATTTAAAACATACAGTAACCGTTCGAAAGTAGAGATTTCAAACTTTGAAACCCTTTTTAAATTTTAATTTTAATCATTTTTAACGAAAATATTGTATTACCAATTTGAGCTAATAAAGTATCGCAGAATTTTTTTTTCAATCCTATATATATCACAAATAAGAAGACAAATGAGAATTTATTAATGGATTTAAACGTTTTCTCATGAATGACCTGATTTAACATATGTGTAATAACGTCATCTTTTCGCGGGAAGCTCTTGTCACACACCAAACATTCATACTACTTTTAATCGCTATGTATAAATTTATGAACGTTTAGGTTATCATTGGAAGTAAAAGTTATGCCGCAAACATAAAATCCAGCATATTCATAAGTATAGAAAAGTAAAAATAAAAAAACAACCAAATGAGAAATAATTGAAAAGAACACTAACGATAATTTGAAGGTACATACATTCCTCGCAAAGATGTAGTTCCCTATCTCTGTGTATTTTTGTATGAGTAATATGGAATGGAAAATAGATAAATGTAGTTGGATATTCGTTACATTTATACGGTTCTTTCACCGTTGTGCTTCACGTTTATATGAAGACGCAAACTATATTTTGTTGCATAACAGTTCTCACATTGGGCACACTTGTAAAGTTTTTCATTGTTATGTATCCTCTTGTGCCCGTCTAGATTCGATTTTTGACTAAAATATAACCGTAACAATATTAAACATTTGTTACCAATTTAATTAAGCATAGAGGCTGTAAAATCAAATAATTCTTCTAATTTTTGTTACTCACTGAAGTACTCACCTAAATGATTTACCACAAATCTCGCATTGATATGGTTTTTCACCTGTATGAATTTTTTTATGCCGACGCAAATCTGATTTTTTCTTAAATGCTTTATGACACACTCCGCATATGTGAGATCTCACTTCGAGATGTACCATCCTGTGCGAGGTTAGATTACATTCTACTCTAAAAAATGATGGTAACAATATTAATCATTTGTTACCAATTAAATTAAGCATAGAGATTGCGTTATGAAATAATTCTGATTTTTGTTACTCACTTAAATGATTTATCACAAAATTCGCATTGATATGGTTTGTCACCTGTATGAATTTTTTTATGTCGACACAAATCAAATTTTCTCTTAAATGCTTTACCACACACTCCGCATTTGTGAGATCTCACTTCGGTATGTACTATCCTGTGCGAGTTTAGATACCGTTCTTTACTAAAAAATGATGGTAACAATATTAATCATTTGTTACCAATTAAATTAAGTATAGAGATTGCATTATGAAATAATTCTTCTAATTTTTGTTACTCACTTAAATGATTTATCACAAAATTCGCATTGATATAGTTTTTCACCTGCAGCATGAATATTTTCATGCTGACGCAAATCACGTTTTCTCTTAAATGCTTTACCACACACTCCGCATTTGTGAGATCTCACTTCGGTATGTACTATCCTGTGCGAGTTTAGATACCGTTCTTTACTAAAAAATGATGGTAACAATATTAATCATTTGTTACCAATTAAATTAAGTATAGAGATTGCATTATGAAATAATTCTTCTAATTTTTGTTACTCACTTAAATGATTTATCACAAAATTCGCATTGATATGGTTTTTCACCTGTATGAATTTTTTCATGTCGACGCAAATAATATTTTCTCTTAAATGTTTTACCACACACTCCGCATTTGTGAGATTTCAATTCGTTATGTACCACCTTGTGAAAGTTTAGTCTCGACTTTCGACTAAAAAATGATCATAGCAATATTAATCATTTGTAACCAATTAAATTAAGCATAGAGATTAGATTATCAAATAATTCTTCTGTTTTTATTACTCACTTAAATGATTTATCACAAAATTCGCATTGATATGGTCTTTCACCTGTATGAATTTTTTCATGCTGATACAATTCACTTTTTCTCTTAAATGTTTTACCACACACTCCGCATTTGTGAGATTTCACTTCGATATGTACCACCTTGTGCAAGTTTAAATCGATTTTCGACTAAAAAATGATCGTTGCAATATTAATCGTTTGTTACCAATTAAATTAACCATAGAGATTGGATTATCAAATAATTCTTCTGTTTTTATTACTCACTTAAATGATTTATCACAAAATTCGCATTGATATGGTTTTTCATTTGTATGAATTATTTCATGCTGGTGCAAATTATTTTTTCTCTTAAATGTTTTACCACACACTCCGCATCTGTGAGGTTTCTCTTCGTTATGTACCACCTTGTGAAAGTTTAGACTCGACTTTCGACTAAAAAATGATCGTAGCAATATTAATCATTTGTAACCAATTAAATTCAGCATAGAGATTAGATTATCAAATAATTCTTCTGTTTTTATTACTCACTTAAATGATTTATCACAAAATTCGCATTGATATGGTCTTTCACCTGTATGAATTATTTCATGCTTATGCAAATCACTTTTTCTCTTAAATGTTTTACCACACACTCCGCATCTGTGAGATTTCTCTTCGATATGTACTGTCTTGTGCGAGTTTAGACTCGATTTTCGACTAAAAAATGATCGTTGCAATATTAAGCGTTTGTTACCAATTAAATTAACCATAGAGATTGGATTATCAAATAATTCTTCTGATTTTTGTTACTCACTTAAATGATTTATCACAAAATTCGCATTGATATAGTTTTTCACCTGTAGCATGAATATTTTCATGCTGACGCAAATCACGTTTTCTCTTAAATGCTTTACCACACACTCCGCATTTGTGAGATTTCACTTCGGTATGTACAAACTTGTGGTCGTTTAGACTACATTGTCGACTAAAAAGATGATCATAGCAATTTTAACCATTTATTACCAATTAAATTAAACACAGAGATTGCATTATTAAATAATTCTTCTGATTTTTGTTACTCACTTAAATGATTTATCACAAATTTCGCATTGATATGGTTTTTCACTTGTATGAGTTATTTCATGAATATGCAAATCACTTTTGTACTTAAATATTTTGTCACATACTCCGCATTTGTGAGGTTTTACGTCGGTATATACATCTCTATTACTTTGTCTTAAAGCTTCAGAGGGGGTAGCTTTGAAGATGATTATTATAAAACAAATATAAAAATGGTAACATAAAACATATAATTGTTGAAATAATATAAAGTTATCAAAAACACTAAAAATATTAATTATGAACTGTATATATCTTACCATACGGTTGAAGCACATATTCTGTTGTGTCATTATGTGTTGGTTCACTTGAAATCCGTTGCGGATGAGATTCCATTTTTTTGAACTTTGAAATTCTTTGAGGTATTGGATGGAGTTCGGAAAGGGTGAACCCCCGATTTTCTTGTCGTTTGGCTTACTATATTTTCAAGTGCTGATTACGAATATAATAATGAAATTTAGCGACATGGTCACTTCCAAGGTCAAATATTTAAAAAAACGACTTTTTTCACGTCTTTTCGACTTTCTACGCTAAGTGATTCATCCCTCCTCTCTGGTTATGGGCACACAATTTTCACGCAAAGCGACTTCCACACCTCTGCTTTGGGGCCCACAACTATTACTCGAAGCCACTCTCACCTTGTGACTTACGGCGACGTGGCTTATGGCGACATCAGTTTTGAAACCAAAAGCATTACCTTTAAAATGGCATAAAGAAAATTGTTCTAGCTTGCCCAGGATCTGAGTTATCGGGTTTCAAAGTAGATCCTATTTTTTTGCAATATTTTGGTTGAGTACACGGAGAGAACTTTTCGTTATTTTTTACCGCAAAATTCATTACAAATTTCATCATGTTTGGTAATAAGCTTGGGACAACTTGACGATAATGAAATATTATCAGTAACGATAGCTTTTTGAAATATACAAGAGACTTTTTATAAATGATGTAGTAAAAATTATAATGGAGATTGTAAAATGTTTTGAAATGAGTAAGCTCTAGCGTAGCTAGAGACACACTCGACAACGAAAATAACCAATAAATATTGATAACGGTCGATCAATTACTATGTTACATGGTAAAATTATAAGCGACTAAATCAGCGATTAAAAATATCACGATGTATTGTAAAAATTGTATAAGCTATTTTATATATTCATGACTACTTAGCATCTGTTCTTTTAAAACAATAAAGAATCATAAACTGCGTAACATATTTTAGATGTTGAAATTTTACTATACCCTTTAGTAAAATTAATAAAATATATTACATACCTTATTTTGACACATACTTGTAAATTAAAGAAACTCGTATACAATTCTTTGAAATACTATGTTGTCCCACTATTATCGTGATTTTCAGGCTAAATTCTAAGAGAAAATTCTCTCCGTGTATAGCCGACAATCGCGTTATGCACACCTCGAGGAGGTCGCACGGTTAAGCCTGCGGCACACGATGCTTGTTTTCCTGCTGGATTGCTAGCTGAATTAGAATCTTACCATCGTATTGGCTGTGATACTGGGCACTGACA